ACTTTCTCCTGGCAAGACACTTCAAGATCTTCTCAGATCACTCCACCTTACAGTGGATGACGTCCATATGCTCTTGTCTGTGCCCTGAAACACTGGAAGCACTTTCTCCTGGGAAGACACTTCAAGATCTTCTCAGATCACTCCACCTTACAGTGGATGAAGTCCTAGGGAGAGCTAAATGATAAGTTGGCACGGTACATTCAGTTCATAGRCATGTTTGACTTTGAACTGAAACATAAGAAGAGCTGCTACAACAAAGTAGCGGACACCCTCTCTCGTAGGCCTGACTCTTTTGCATTGATCTCCTCTACTCACTCCTTTGGAGAGGAGACCCGTCAGACCATTGCTCGTCTACTGCCTCAGAACCCGACTTTTGGACCCATAGTCAGGAATCTGCAAGCAGATCCTAACTCTGAACCAAGCTATGCTCTGAGTTCAGGTCTGCTGTACACCTACAGCAGAGGGGAGCAGCGCTTGTGCATTCCCCAGGACCAGCGGCTCAGGACACTACTGATGTCAAAGTGTCATGACGCTCGTGGACATTTTGGGTTCCTAAAGTCATATGCAGCCCTGTCGCAGCGCTTCTTCTGGAAGGAGATGCGGAGTGATATGTTGCGCTATGTGGAAACCTGCGAGCTCTGCCAAAGGAATAAGGTCCAGCGTAGGCCTCCTTTGAGACTGCTCAAACCCTTACCCATACTTGATGGCCCTGCTGAATCTGTGTTGATAGACTTCACAGATTTAGGTAAGACCACCCCTCGTGGCATGCGTCAGGTTATGGTCTGCGTGGACAGGTTCTCCAAATACGCAGAGTTCATCCCCTTGCCAGAAGTGGCCAGAGTCCCGGCTGTGAGAGCAACCTTTTCAGAGAGGTGGGTCACACACCATGGACCGCCCACTTCTATAGTCAGTGATAGAGACCCCCGATTTTGCAGCGATGAGTGGCAGTCCTACTGTAAGGACTATCTGCACTCACGATTGGACATGACTTCTGGTCATCATCCTGAAGCCAATGGTCAGGCTGAAGTGATGAACCAAGTCTTATTCCAATTGCTGCGTCCTGTCATCTCTCCGGATCAACAGGACTGGGATCTTCACTTGGCTCGAGCACAGCTTGTTTATAATATGTCTGTCCATTCCTCGACTGGGTTCAGTCCATACCGGCTACACTGCGGATGTGAACCACGACAGCCTCTCGATGATATCATCGATAAGGCCAAGTCTGATCTGACTCCAGGCACTGCAGACTTCACCAGACGCTACCGCATACATGTGGAAAGAGCACGGGCGAACTTGTTCAAAGCCCAGAAGGCGATGATTGAACAAGCTAATCGCCACAAGCGGCCTTCCCCCATCCGCACTGATGATCATGTCTGGGTAGCCAGTTCAGAGCTGTCGAGGGAGGAGGATATCTCCCCCAAGCTGTTGCCTCGTTATTTGGGTCCATGGCAGGTCCTAGATACAGGTTCTAGATACAGTGGGCGCCGATCCATTCGGTCCGTCCTATGTCATTGACGTCCCTCTGCATCTATGCACCTACCCGGTCTTTCATGCATCCAAGCTGTTGCCATTTACTCCAGCTTATGCATTCCCCGACCGGCTCCCTCAGTTCGGTCCACCGATCCCTGGCAAGGGATATGATGTGGAGTGGATTGAGGATGAGTGGGGCACCGGCCCCGATCGACAGTATCTTGTGAAGTTCGCATTCCAGCCTCCTTCTGAGAACAGATGGTTCTACAGAAGGGAACTTCTCAAAACAGCAAAGTCAGTTGTTTTGCAGTATGAAGCGGCTCAGAAGGGCAACGTTCCTCGCCGTTCACCTCGCCTACATCCCTAGCTCGGAGGTCCTCGCTCCTTGGGGGGGTAAGCCTGCAATGACTTGCTGATTTCGACTGCCGAGACTGACTTGCGAGGTTGTACAGTGTGCTGTTTGCTTGCTGCGGTTGTACAGTGTGCTGTGTATTTTGTTGTGTTTTTTTGGCTTGCACTGAGGGCCGCCCGCTATTCTAAAAATAACTGGGACTAACAACCGTAGGGGCTGAGTGGTTAGCGGCCCTAAGTGGCCCTGAGCCTTAAGTGTAGCAGTAGGACCGGTTTCGTAGAGGCCGAGTAGGCCCTAACTGAACCGGTACCGGTAGGTCCTAGGCTAGAGTAGTGTAGAATCTACAAG